TTGACTATTCAGTAGAGATTGAGTGTTGGCCCAATAGAGTCATATAATTTTTTTTTTTTTTTGTCTTTTTCTGTGACCGGTAAGGGGATCGCAACCCTTGGCTTGGTGTCGCCCGCACCACGCTCAGCCAGTGAGTGCACTGGCCACCCCTATATAGGACCCGAACGGGCGGGAGCGCTGCTGCGCTCCCAGCGCTGCACTCTGCTGAGTGCGCCACGGGGCCGGCCCTAGAGTCATGTAATTTTTGTAAATTTTCATGGTTATGTTTTTCCAGTCATACTTGTCACCAGCAAATCTGCCTAACTGTCCAGCCCTATCTCTAGCCACTTTCTCTGAGGCATCTTATGCCCTTAGGAATGCTGAATGACTCACAACCCCTAGCTGTCTTTCTGTTTTCACCATCTATGTATATGCCTCTCTACTGCCGTTTCTGCCAGCTCTGCCTTCTTTTCTGTATCTGGCCAATATCTTTTTATCTTTTAAAACTCAGTTCTGGAACCCTCTTTTGCAGATACCTTTCTGAGGTCAGCCAGTATCAAATGTGTGTTGATGCCATGTGCTCACATACCTGTTTTTGTAGTACCATTTAACATGACTTAAATAGCTCCTTTGAGGGCACAGGGTACATCTTGAGCAATTTTATATTAAAATTTGTGTTGTGTAAGAATGGTTAATGTCATGGGCAACAACCACGTGTTAAGTTTAAAAAGCAACCACCAAAATTAAAGAATACAAGGTGTGATCCATTGTGACTTAAAAAAAATTATATATATATATATATTTAGGATAGATAAATGATTGAAAACAGACACATTAAAATGTTGATTGTTTTTATCAGGCAGATTTTTAATCTGTGCTCTTGTGTAATTAAGTTGTCTTGTAAGGGTAGTTTGTCTGCTTTTTAGGACAGTTGTGAGGATTAGAGATAATGTCTGTAAAGCACTTAAAGTGCTAGACCTACATACATACTTAATATGCAGTTGTATCATTAGTCTCTTATAAGCCAGTTAAGAAAGTCTTAGGCCCTTGCTACTTAAAGTGCAGTCCCTGGGGATGGAAGCATTCACATCCCTGGGGAGCTTTTTAAGAAATGCCAACTCTAATACGGGCCTACCAAATCAGAATGTGTGGTTTAACCAGGTGCCCCATTTGATTGACAGGAAGTGGAGAAGCACTGCCCTAGGCCCATGGTTCTCAAAACTTCCTGGAGGGCTTGTTAAAACACTGATTGCTGGCTGATTCAGTAGGTCTGGGTTGGAGCAGATAATTTGCATTTCTAACCAGTCCTAGGTGGTGTGGCTGTTGCTGCCACTGCCCCGGGAACTACCCTTTGAGAACCACTGGAAGCAGTCTAGCCTGCTTCCACCTCTTCCCTTCTTTGTATGAGCTAAGAATGGTTTTTACATTTTTAAATGGTTGGGAAAAGATCTAAGGAAGAGTAATATTTTGCCACATGTGAAAATTATAATAAAATTCAGTTTTTCCCATGAATTTAAGAAGTTTTATTGGAACATTGTTAAGTGCATTTGCTTATGAATTGTCTATGGCTACTTTTGCAGAAAAAGGGCAGAGTTGAGTAATTATGACAGAGGCATATGGCCCACACCTAAAATAATTACCATTGGGCCCTTTACATAAAAATTTTGCCATCCGTGCTGTAAGACATTTAGAATATAACTGGAAACTATAGTTTTCAAAGTCCTCAAAGATTCAATGCAGAATTCATTACAGGAAGTTCAGCAACTGTAATTGTCTATAACAAAGTAGTCGTGCACTGCTTAACAATGTTTTGGTCAGCAACAGACCACATGTGGGATGATGGTCTTATAAGGTTAGAATGGAGCTGAAAAATTCCTGTTGCTTCCTGATGTCAGAGCCATTTTAACATCATAGTGTAACACATTACTCACGTTTTTGTGGTGATGCTGGTGTAAACAAACCTTCTGTAAAATACCTCGAGGAGGAGTGTCTGGTTTATCCACGGGTGAGCCTCCCAAAGGTAGCTCAGAACTTTAATATAGAAAGCCAAGCTATCTGACACATTAGGTCTGACCCCAAGTCTACTTTAGAGTTCTTGCATTTTTAAATGATTCCCACCCACCCATCGTCATAGCAAAATAATAGTTAATAACAGCTAATACTCACTGAGTTCTTGCTGGGTGTCAGGCACAATTCCTACCAGTGATTTGATGTTCATAACTTTGTAGGGGTGGTATTATTCTAAACCAAATTTAACAGATGAGGAAAGTGAAACACAGAGAGACTTAGTAACATAGTAGAGGGCCACTCTCATGCAACTAGGGGGTGTTGTAGATAATAGGAAAATCCATTCTGTTCCCTTTCATAAAGCACTTTCACACAATAATGAAATCACCGCATTTAGTATTCCCACTGATAAGCAACTCATCACTGTATTGATATTAAAAGATTCCTATATTTTTAAGTATTGATAGCACTACCCTTAAAAGCCTACTTATTCTTGACCTTAAAGACAAACATTTCTATCATGTAGGTCCTCTCCCATTGGTTTTAAGTATATAGCCATTATTTTTCAGTCAAATGTTTGATTGTGAGCTCATTTGAAGGACCATGTTGTTTCTCCTTATTGCTTTCTGGGGCTAGCTGTTCTCTCATCTAAGATGCATAGGCTATAAAGTTTTTCTGGAGTCTGTGAATTGTTTCAGCTGACCTCACATTTCACTAGTTCCTAAGGGGGACCAAAAATAACTCACCAAGACCACTATGCAGAGGCTGCCCCAGCCATAGGACTGAGAGCGCCCTCTTCCCTGCTGCCTGTGAGCAGGGACCAGGGGCTTCCCGCCCCAGCGTGGTCAGATGGCGGTGATGCGTCCTCAGGAGGAGAAAAGGCCAGACTTACAAGTTCTGCTCTCTCCTCAAGCTATGTCGATTTCCATACTTGAGAATAATGTTTGAAAAAAAGGATGGTGTTTTCAGGAAGCAGCATTTGGCACCACTGTCTGTCTTCCCTCCATAACTTTTAGTGCCCATGTTAGAAATATGAGTCATAGGAGGGCACTGGATTAGCATGCACTAAAAATAAAACGCGTGAATAGTTCACTTATTTCTCAACCTTTCCAATTACATTAGCAAACTTTGGGGGCTCAAATGCAAGGTGGTTTTGGATGTGGCAACAACCAGTTGCCAAAAACAGATGGAGGAAGCGAAACCAAGAAACAGCGAAGCAAACGGACTCAGAGGACTGGGGAGAAAGCAGCAACTCGCTCCAAGAAAAGGAAAAAAGAGGAGGACGGGAAACAAACTATGTACTCTAACACTGACACGTTAACCCATTGGAAACAGGTGAGTCCTTCGTAGCAGTCCCTTTAAAAATTCAAGGACAGGAGAGATGAAATGCCTTTTCAACCATATTCAACTGAAACTATCTCTTTATTGTGATAATTTCCTAATTAGAGTTGAGTTACAGGGATAAAGACATCTCAGTGAGGAACCTAGTAGACTTCCTATTTCCTTATCCTATTGGAACCTGAAATTTACAGTAGTATAAATGGATGGATAGGTAGGTGATGGTCAAGATTTACTTTTGTTCAAAAGGAGCAACCTCATTACTGAGAAAAACTCTGTCCTCATTACTTGTGACTCTGGATCCCCCAAAACTGCAGCTGCTGGACTCTCCCCATCGTAAACTGTGTTCTCACACCT